GTGGTGGTGGGCGCCCGTAATCCCGGCTACTCGGGAGGCTGAGTTAGGAGAATCGCTTGAACCTGGGAGGCAGAGGTTGCAGTGGGCCAAGATCGCGCCACTACACTCCAGCCTGGGTGACAGAGGGAGACTCCGTCTCAAAAATAAAAAAGAAAATTTTTGTTGTTGTTAATTGTTTGATACTAAAAAACATCTTAGCCTTTTAAGCCCCTCTAAATATAGGATGTGAGTTGCGCTGGTAGAGAAAGTGGCAGAATCTCTTTCCTGGCTCCTAGGATGGCACAAGAATATTTTCTAAATGGTCTGACTCGGCCCAGCTTCAAGCCCAAGATGTTGGAACAAAGCAGAGGCAGCACCTGATCTCGTGTTTCCCAAGTTTTATTTTTACGCACTATAGTTGAAAATGAATACCTCGGCCCAACTCACATGTTGCTTAGTTGTGTATGTGTCTGTCTGTCTTATTGGGTCGTGAATTTGGAACAGAAGTTACCTTGTTTGGGTTTGTGTCTTGCCTCTTCATGCGATGGGCAAGTGTTTGTTGAATTAGATTGGGGTTGAAATGCATTAGGGGGCTAAACATGCAAAATTACAAGAGAACTTCTATTGTAAAAGAAGAAAACTAAGGAAAAACTTGTTTCACTTGTTGAAATTGTGGAAATGGAGTTGCAACTTATCATTACAATTATTCTGGATATGAAGGGAGGAGTGAGTTAGTCTTTTCTTTTTTTTTTGAGACGGAGTCTGGCTCTTATCGCCCAGGCTGGAGTGCAGTGGTGGGATCTCAGCCCACTGCAACCTCTGGCCGTCTCCCAGATTCAAGCAATTCTCCTGCCTCAGCCTCCTGAATAGCTGGGACTACAGGTGCCCACCACCATGCGTGGCTAATTTTTAAAAAATTTTTGTATTTTTAGTAGAGATGGAGTTTCACCATGTTGGTCAGGCTGGTCGTGAGCTCCTGACCTTAGATGATTCGCCTGCCTCGGCCTCCCAAAGTGCTGGGATTATAGGTGCCTACCACCTCGCCTGGCTAATTTTGTGTTTTTAGTAGAGACAGGGTTTCACGTGTTGGCCAGGCTGGGCTTGAAGTCCTGATCTCAGGAGGGCTTAGTCTTTGGTATTATATAATCCAGGCAGTTCAAACTGATGCCAAGGCAAATAACCTGCACAGTGCCTTAAAGTGGGGCATAGAGGATGTTCCTAGTGGCTGAATACCAGTTTCCTTCCTGGTCTTGGAAGCATATACATTTGCCAATGCTGTCGTCCATTTTCCTCTTTGTAATTCTGGTTCAGGATTCTCTTTGTGGTTGCCGGATTCTAAAATAAATTACATATACTGTTTGAAAAAATCTGCATATGTTTCGGAAGCAAGGTTACAGTTGACCTAGTCATAACTTAATTTGAACAGGGTTGGAGAAGTGGATTATGTGGCAAACTCTTGGAAAGCAAGGGACTCCCTAAAGTATTTACATGATCAGGTTTGAAAGTGGTTTAAAACCATAATATCAGTAATTACTGGGCTGAGGATTTGGTTTTGTGGTGAGACAATATGAGTTATAAATTTCTTTCTTTGCAGGTTTAGTGGGACAGCGTCATAAATTTGGAATGCTGAAGGGAAAATTATAGATTTTGATACTGAAGGAAATGAAGCGAAGCCTAAGTGAAAATTCAGCTCGAAGTACAGCAGGTATTGAACACCTTTTATTTTACATTTTTCTATATATCATGTAAAGCTTGTATAGTTTATAGATGTAACGTTTTGGAAATAACTTTAAAACAGATTGAACGGTTAGTCTAGCCTCTTTACTTTTTAGGCCCCAGGAAGTAAAATAACTTACTCAAGACAAAACATTTAGTGGTGGATATGGGAGTAAGATCAAACTTCTTGGATTTATTTTGGTGTTTTTTTCTACAAATTCGACGTGCTTTAGTTATTCTATGCTTTTAAACTGGAAACAAAGAAATAGATCTGTTTTTGTTTGTATTTGTGACTGACTTACTAAAAATATTTTCAGAAGCACTTCGGTCTTTCTAATAGCTTCTCCTATCACTTTTGCTTTCCCAACTTATTAGTATAAAGACAGAGGGCAAGGATGATGGGAACCAGGGGAATGGTGATGCATAATGAAGACAATAGTAACTGTTATTTATGGTGGGTTAACTGTATTCAAGACATTAATTCTATATATTTATTTAATCCTTACACCAGTCCTCTGAGATAGGTTATTATCATCATTTCTGTTCTTCAGAAATGATTATGCTATGACGTAGCAGAATCAGAATTTGAACCTAGGAATCTGGCTCTTAGTTCATGCTCTTAATCATTATGCTGTCAGTATATGTCATATTGGCAGAAAGAGTTTAGGGAAATTGCCCAAGGTCATACTCTGAAGTTGTAATTCAAACCTACTTTGAAGTCAAAATTCGGAACCAGGCAGTCTGATGCCAGAGCCCACATAATTCTCCCAGCCTTCAATCAGAGAGTTTTCAGAGAGTCTGTATTTGCCTGTAATACAATTGATGATGACCAGTTAGAGAATGGTACAGTGGCAAGAGATCTGAACTGATATTTAAGAATCTTGGGTCCTATCTAGATTCTTCTACTGACTTGCTTTATAGCAATGCACAAGCGTTTTGAACTTCTTTCCCCTTCGAGTTCCCTAAGTTTTAAAGTTTATATTTTGTGACTTTTAGCCTGACTTGAGATCCTAGATCTGCTCTCTGGAGGAATTGGTAGTAGTATTTATTATTATTTGGACCAGATATTATTACTCTGTAAGGCATTCTCAAAATGATCCACAGAGAAATATAATTACAGACACCTGGGGTACTTGTTAAAATTTTATGCAGAGTTTTGAGTTCCAGGCTAACTCTTTTGAAATAAAATCTGTGAGAGTGGAGTCTAGGAACCTACATATTAAGCATTCCAGATGAATCTTAGTCCAATGAAGCTTTGAGAACCAAGGACCAAAAGGATATGGCACTGTTGTTCAAAGCATGGTTCAGAGCTTGGTTCTTCCTCACCTCCATTGTACTGCAAAGGTCCCCTGCAGTGTATATGGCAATAGGCAAGCACAGGACAGGGATAAGGAAGACAAAAAGTGGATTTGGAAAGGCTGGGGGATGAGGGAGGAGATGGGAATTAATTCCATATGTGAGGAATTAAAACAGTGTTAGGGTAGAATAAGAAAAGGTTTTTGAAGAGACAAATGAGGCTATTCAGGGTCTTAAAAAGAATGTAAAAATCCGAAGATATAGAAATGTAGAAGTATGTTAGCATATAGAAGTAGACAAATTTAAAATGTATATTATATACTAGTTATTTGACAACTAGATCTGCTTATGTGTCTATTATGTACTAATTTATTGGTGCATTCAATTTAGGCTGTTTGCCTGTTCCATTGTTCAATCAGAAAAAGAGGAACCGACAGCCATTAACTTCCAATCCACTTAAAGATGATCCAGGTATCAGTACTCCTTCTGACAATTTTGACTTTCCTCCTCTACCTGCAGGTAAGAAAATTAATAAGGTAAAAATTTTCACGAAATACAAACTAGGAGTATAGAAAATTGTATTTTCTATTTTATTATAATGAAAACAGAGAGTTTATTTTTTCTTCTTTCCATTATCCACATATAGAAATTACGTGGCTCTTTCTGAACATTCCAGGTCAGGAGTTTGAGTTTCCTTATCTACAAGGGTGGCTTAGCATTTAAATGGAGTATCTTAGATTTGGAACCTTTGTTCTAATAAAGTAGTAGCATATATTGTAAAAAATATTTTGTTGTTCTCAAAATACATGTGGATATTATAGCTTATACATTTGGTGGTAAAGAATGGAAACACATGAATTGCCTCAAGAGTGGGGATAAGTATGCATGGGAACACAGGAGAAATGGAAAAAAGATAGATTTTAGGAAGTACAAACGCCTGTAAATACCCGGTGCCTGGCCATAGTCTTTTTCTCTTCTTAGGGCATTTTTGCCTCATTCATTTGTTGGCTGTTTACTCTGTGGTCTCAGTGTGTCCCCCCCTCCCCAAATTTCATACGTTGAAACTTAACTGCTGGTGTTATAGTGTTAAGATGTGGGGCCTTTAGGAGATAGTTAAGTCTCCGCCCTCATGAATAAGATTAGTAACTTTATAAAAGGTGTGAGGGAGCTGTTTGATCCTTTCGTCATGTGAGGACACAGTAAAAAGCCTTGACTTCCCAGCCTCCAAAGCTGAGAAATAAATGTATCATATTTATAAATTACCCATTCTAAAGTATTTTTTGTTATAGTAGTTCAAACGGACTAAGACACATGTTCGTCCAGTGGGCTTCTTTATAGCTTCAACTGGCACATGAACTAAGTTGCCCTTGCTGGGAGTTTACATAACCTTTTAGTTCTAGTTCTCAGAGGTCATTGGTAGGCTGTCCTCTGTATCTCATGATGTGTGTCCTCCTGAAGTACTTCAGGCTCTGACCAGGGTTACTATTTGTCAGAAATAGTAATTTTCCTGTATTGGGTAAGAGAGAGGACTACATCAGTGTTTTTGTTTTTTATTTTTTTAAATTTTTGTCTTGATCCATTAGTTGGGCTGGGATATAATTGATCTTTTTTTTTTTTTTTTTTTTTTTTTGGGGTTTTTTTTTTTTTTTTTTTTTTTTGGGACGGAGTTTCACTCTTATTACCCAGGCTGGAGTGCAATGGCGCGATCTCGGCTCATCGCAACCTCTGCCTCCTGGGTTCAGGCAATTCTCCTGCCTCAGCCTCCTGAGTAGCTGGGATTACAGGCACGCACCACCATGCCCAGCTAATTTTTTGTATTTTTAGTAGAGACGGGGTTTCACCATGTTGACCAGGATGGTCTCGATCTCTTGACCTCGTGATCCACCCGCCTCGGCCTCCCAAAGTGCTGGGATTACAGGCTTGAGCCACCGCGCCCGGCCATAATTGATCTTTAAAAAGAAGAAATAGAAGAGAATAAGGTAGAGTAGAATAGAAAATACAGCCAAGCACTGCATAACAATGTTTTGGTCAGTGATGGACTACCTTTGTGATGGTGGTACCTTTACAATTATAATGGAGCTGAAAAATTTCTATCTCCTAGTGACATAGTAGCTGTGATGATGTCACAGCCTACCTTATTTTTTTTTTTTTATAAATCAGTATAGCCTAAATATATGGTGTGTTTAGTCTACAGTAGTGTTTAGTCATGTCCTAGGCCTTCATATTCACTCACCACTTAATCACCAACTCACCCAGAGGAACTTTAAGTCCTGCAAGCTTCATTTATGGTAAGTGCCCTCTTGAGTGTATTGGTTTTTATCTTTTGTATTATATTTTTACTGTATCTTTTCTATGTTTAGATATGTGTAGATACACAAATACTATTATATTACAGTTGCCTATGGTGTTGAGTGAAGTAACATGTTACACAGGTTTGCAGCCTAGGAGCAATAGGCTATAACTACACCCTAGGTGTGCAGCAAGCTATACTCTCCAGTATAGCTTTGCGTAAGCACGCTCTCTGATGTTTGCTCAGCAACAAAATCACCTAACAATGCATTTCTTAGATTGTATCCCTGTCATTAAGTGATACATGACTGTGTCAGTGTATTACAATATTAAGGATAAGATTTGACGATGAAGTTTTATATTCTTTTTCCTCCTTTCTCTATCTCTCTGTCTCCGTCTCACACACACACCATCCGTATATATGTTCTGAGTTATGATGTATTTCTTTCTGTTGGTGGGATTTAAAAAGTTCAAGAAACATTGGATTAAATGAAATTCATGTTACAAAGTTCGAGAAGCTATACTAGAACTGATTGTAGAAAAGACACTGATTAAATTATCTTTGCTTAAAATATAATGGATAAGAAAGACATCTATAAAAATTAATAAGGCAGGCTGTGACAAATTTTCCAACAAAGTACTGTTGAAGAAGTTTGTATATGCAAGTTCTTTTCTTCTTCGAGTTTTTAAACCGCCCAAATTAAATAAGTATGAAGTTATTATTTTGAAAAATACTACCTATCTTACTTTTATCTATGTTACTTATATCTTTTGAGATTGGGCCTGGGAAGCTATGAATCCAGAGTTGGCTCCTGTCATAAAAACAATGGACACTGGGTATGTAGAAAAATATAAACCAGTGGATGTGTGTCTGTTACTGACTACGTTATTCTTCTATGTATATCTTAGTTTCTCAATTTGAAAGCAAACTATTAATATTTAACAAGACATATTTCTTTGAAAGGAAAATACCACATTCAGTTTCTCGTCCTCTGAGAAGTCAAGATTCTGTCTTTAATTCTATTCAATCAAAATCTGAAAGAAGCCAGAGTGGTTGGAGGTGAGTCTACTTAAAATTTCTTTCTTCTTCTATTCCTTCTCATTTTCCTGTCTTTCTCTTCATCTTTCCCACTTCCTTTACTTCTTCATTTCTTAAATAGAATTACATTTAGAAAATTTCTGTAAATAGTAACTATGGTGGTATTAATCATGTTTTATAAAAGAACTTAAGAACATGCATGGAAAACTTAAAAAATATGTAAATTTGATGGTGATTATGCTTCAAAAGATTCTTAATGTGATAATGAAATTTCTGGCAATATTTATTGCCATGAATTTGTGATTTTGCTTATGGGTTGTTAATGATTTAATTGACAATAGATAGGAATCATATCTTAGTATTGGTTATATTTAGGAATTGAGAAGCAGTTAGAGTGCTCATTCTTATCCTGTAAGACAGTCAGCTTCAAGGTAAACAGAATGGAAGAAGAAAGAAAAATGGAGGCTGAGATGCATATGCATCTGCAACAGTAGGGGCTCAAGGAGTGAATAAGATGGTCAAAAAGATGGTGAGGGTTCTTGCCATAAGGACCAAAGTTTAATGTTTAAATAGCATGAAAAAACTGATAGAAAAAGAATATGGATTTTTTTTTGGTTGGACTTTAATAGCCTTGGATAAATGGTAATATTGAAGGAAATAATTTTGGAGACAAAGTGTTGGGAAAACACCACCAAATACATATATCTGTCATTGTTAAGTGCTTTGATATATTCTTTCAGTAATCCCTACAACAACCGTATGAAGTTAATACTATTATTCTTTTTATTAGATGAAGATACTGTATTTTTTTAAAGGGGGAACTTTTTATATAGTTGTTAATAAATACATTGAAATAGTATCTTTATTTCATGCCTGTAATCCCAGCACTTTGGGAGGCCAAGGTGGGTGGATTACAAGGTCAAGAGATCGAGACCATCCTGGCCAACGTGGTGAAAAACCCTGTCTCTACTAAAAATACAAAAATTAGCTGGGCATGGTGGTGCATACCTGTAGTCCTAACTACT